AAGATCCTGTTTTTCGGAGTCAAAATAGAGTTACCTTAACTATTCGATAGCACTTGTAAAGGTGTCAGGACGGGTTTGCGTGGAAATCTTCACTTCATCACATTCTTCTCCAAATTTTTGTACACTGGTTTGGTTTACAGACCTTTTTCACGTTTTCTTTTTTACTCTGTCAGTGGTTTGGTCCATGTAAAAGAGCTGCTGGGGTCAGTGTGAACCCAACCTCGCTCCTCCAAAGGCTCTTTCACTCTAAAACTGCTCCTCTTTGTCTGGAGTGGCTCCTCTTTTTTTCTCTCTGGCTCCTCTGAGAGCAGCTCCTCTCACTCTGAAACATCTCCTCTCGCTCTCTGGAACATTTCCTCTCTCTCTAGAAAGGCTCCTCTCTCTCTTGTAAAACTTCTCTCACTCTGGAACCATCTCCTTTCACTCTGGAACCTTTCCTCTCTCTCTGGAACATCTCCTCTCTCTGGAACATCTCCTCTCTCTCTGGTACATCTCCTCTCACTCTCTGGAACATCTCTCTCTCTGGAACATCTCCTCTCTCTCTGGAACATCTCCTCTCACTCTGGAACATCTCCTCTCTCTCTGGAACATCTCCTCTCACTCTGGAACATCTCCTCTCTCTCTGGAACATCTCCTCTCACTCTGGAACATCTCCTCTCGCTCTGGAACATTTCCTCTCTCTCTGGAACATCTCTCTCTCTCTCTGGAACATCTCCTCTCACTCTGGAACATCTCCTCTCTCTCTGGTACATCTCCTCTCACTCTGGAACATCTCCTCTCTCTCTGGAACATCTCCTCTCTCTCTGGAACATCTCCTCTCACTCTGGAACATCTCCCCTCTCTCTAGTACATCTCCCCTCTCTCTAGTACATCTCCTCTCACTCTGGAACATCTCCTCTCTCTCTGGAACATCTCCTCTCTCTCTGGAACATCTCCTCTCTCTCTGGAACATCTCCTCTCTCTCTGGAACATCTCCTCTCACTCTGGAACATCTCCTCTCTCTCTGGAACATCTCCTCTCTCTCTGGAACATCTCCTCTCACTCTGGAACATCTCCTCTCACTCTGGAACATCTCCTCTCTCTCTGGAACATCTCCTCTCACTCTGGAACATCTCCTCTCTCTCTGGAAACACCTCCCTCTCTCTGGAAGATCTCCTCTCTCTCTGGTACATTCTCCTCTCACTCTGGAACATCTCCTCTCTCTCTGGAACATCTCCTCTCACTCTGGTACATCTCCTCTCACTCTGGAACATCTCCTCTCTCTCTGGAACATCTCCTCTCACTCTGGAACATCTCCTCTCTCTCTGGAACATCTCCTCTCACTCTGGAACATCTCCTCTCTCTCTGGAACATCTCCTCTCACTCTGGAACATCTCCTCTCACTCTGGAACATCTCCTCTCACTCTGGAACATCTCCTCTCACTCTGGAACATCTCCCCTCTCTCTGGAACATCTCCCCTCTCTCATCTCCTCTCTCTCTGGAACATCTCCTTTTACTCTGGAACATTTCCTCTCTCTCTGGAACATTTCCTCTCTGTATGGAACATCTCCTCTCACTCTGGAACATCTCCTCTCTCTCTGGAACATCTCCTCTCACTCTGGAACATCTCCTCTCACTCTGGTACATCTCCTCTCTCTCTGGAACATCTCCTCTCTCTCTGGAACATCTCCTCTCACTCTGGAACAGATCCTCTCTCTCTGGAACATCTCCTCTCTCTCTGGAACATCTCCTCTCTCTCTGGAACATCTCCTCTCACTCTGGAACATCTCCTCTCTCTCTGGAACATCTCCTCTCACTCTGGTACATCTACTCTCTCTTCTGAACACCTTGTCTTGCTCTGAAGAGGCTCCTCTCACTCTCTCTGTGGAATGGCTCCCCTCTCTCTCGAACAGCTTTTTTCACTCTGGAACATCTCCCCTCTCTCTCTCTCTGGAGCAACTCCTGTCTCTCTTGAATAGCTCCTTTCTCCCTGGAGCAGCTCTCCTCTCACTCTAAAACATCTCCTCTCTCTCTGGAACATCTCCTCATCGCTCTCAGATCAAATGTTGTGCTACATCGACCTAACAGTGACAGTATGAAACCCTCCTCTGCCTCATGTGACTACCTAATCTTGGGCCTGGTCGGTACATGCAGACACCACTGAATAATGCAAACCTCAGCAAATGTAATTGTTATAAGACCAATGCTTTTTTTTATTTTTTATTATGAGGCAGTTTCACGTTTCTCTCGTCCTCTCTCCCCAGCCCCTACATGCCCACGGAAAGCACTGCTCTGACTATAGCATGTCTCTATAATTACACAGCATTCTTATCAAAACAAAGACGCCTTTATGGTAGCGCGGGGCCATTCGAAGTTCACAGTATTGTCTCTTTGATTTACTTCGCTCCTCATCTCCACCAAGCACGAAACACTATAGACGCAACATCTCTGGATATTAGACCGCCACAAACTAAATCTCGGGTCCTTGGTTCAAAAAGTTGCTTTGATTTACATATTTCTGCGTGCGAGTCGATTACTTCTGACCCCGGAGATGGTCTTAATGATGTGACCTGTGACCTCCGAGGCTTTTTAAACACAGAGGAAACGTTGTTGTGAATAGAGCAGCTGAATTCCTCCGTCTGGGTTCGTTTTTTTTTATGTTATTTGCATACGTTTTGTAGCCACGAGCAGTAAAATGTCTGGGCAAACACGAGATAATGGACAACGGCTTTGACCTTTGTAGCGAGGTACAAAGCGGCGCGTATAGAGATCGGACTATTCAGATTCGTGTTAAGGTGAATGGGAGATGGTTTAAGCGGAAATGGAGGAGAGGTCAGATTTCTCAGGTGGAATTTGTTGTTTAAAAGAACCATATTATGCTACTTTCTGATAAAATGTTGTTTCCTCATTAAAAACTTGGAGCAGAGTCCGGCACGGGTCCATTTTTCGAGATCCACACCAGCCCGTTAACCCGTGATTATATCAAAGTTAAATCCGCACCCGCCCGGACCCGTTAACATTCCACCCGTTACCGCCCCCTAAATCAGGGACAGCACATTAGTCCGAAAGCCCAGTAGCCAGAACTAAACCAGGACTAAACCAGGACTGAACCTACGCCGTGTCATTAGTGGATTATAAATACATACACGCTGCAAACCGGAGAGACGATTGCCAGGACAACACCAGGGCCGGACCAGGATTTAACCAGGATTTAACCAGGTCTAAACCAGGTCTAAACCAGGACTGAACCAGGACTGAACCAGGACTAAACCAGGACTGAACCAGGACTGAAGAAGGACTAAACCAGGACTAAACCAGGACTAAACCAGGACTAAACCAGGACTGAACCAGGACTAAACCAGGACTAAACCAGGACTAAACCAGGACTAAACCAGGACTAAACCAGGACTGGACCAGGACTGGACCAGGACTAAACCAGATCTAAACCAGGACTTAACCAGGACTAAACCAGGTCTAGACCAAGTCTAAAAAAGGACTAAACCAGGACTAAACCAGGACTAAACCAGGTCTAAACCACAACTAACCCACGACTAAACCAGGAGTGCACCCGCTGAGCCGACCGCTTCCTCTGTTGGTTTTGTGTAATAAATACACTAAAGTCACTCTCTCAATTTGGGTTTGACTCAAATATTTATCAGCTGAGCAAACTTTCAACCAGGGGTCTCCAAACTTTTTCGTCTGGTGAGCTACTTTTACAAAATGAAATTGTCAGAGAACTACCACTTTTAGTGGCCACTAAAAATTGAGTATATATAAGAGCCACAGCAGGTCTTTGATGAGGTACATTTAAATGTCTATAAAACAAACAATTATCCATTTATTAGGGCACAAAGTTAGGCATTAGGGCTGTCGCGATAACCGCAAAAATGAATCACCACGGAACTAAGAGGCCCACTGCGGTGCATGTTGGGCCACCACGATCACCACATGTGACCAACGTGACCCAACCCAGAGTCCTGCACGGGTCCATTTTTAGAGACCCACAAACGCTCGGACCCATTAACATTCCAACCGTTACAGCCCGTGTCCATGATGACCCAGGACTGATCCAGGACTAACCCAGGACTAACCCAGGACTAAGATGCGCCCACGTAGACCATCTGGTGACCGCAGGCCGCATGGAGGTAAATGTGGCCGTCGACCGATTGCACTTTGCGGACACCTGCTCTGCGTGCTCGGGGTTCTCTCTCTTAAATGCAGGGTGCAGGACTCTGACCCGACCTGGTGCAGGACTCTGACCCGAGCTGCCACAGTGAGAGCTGGACAGATGCAGCGGCACTTGTTCCAAAGTCAAATGTTACTTCTCCCTCTACACACTATATATCCGCGCGACAACCAAGGTACATGTGCATCTGCAAAACCAAGAGCGTCATCGGAGAGAGTTTTCAGTTTTCAGAGCCGCTGGAAATATTATAACTCCGGGGGATGTGGGGTGGAGGAGGGGGTGCGATATCACTGCAAACCGCGCTGTTGAGCCGCTATACCGCACCGCAGGAGAAATTCCCCAACCGCCACAGCCCTATTAGGCATTAAAATGAAACACGTACAATAGTAATAGGCATTTAATTAATCAAATTTTACTTATTCAGCACAATAGGTGTAATTCAGAAATCCCTTGGCGAGCTGCTTGGACGGGGGAGGAGAGCTACACGTTGGAGACCCCTGCTTTAAACCATAAGATCAATATGTCTGAGTTATCCACCATTTTTGCTGAGTGTAAGTATTTATATCCATGCAGAGGAGGAAGAAGAGGGGCCCAGAGGAACCGCTCTCCTACACAGGAAAACTCAACTCAATTATACCTGCGTTTGGTGGTTTACAAAAGGTTTAATCATGTGGGCTGAAACAGAACCGCGCAAAAATAGTCTCAGGTACAGATGGTGCAGAGAGTTCAAATTAGTACGGGCTAATACCTCAAGTACTATGACCTGGAGACGGGGTCACAACAGGGGAGTTGAACCCAAAACGTTCTTGCTGCAATCTAAAGATGTGGACTTACTGACAAAGGAGGTTTCCCCGAGATAGCCTCTGCGTTTGAGCACCACTTCCAGGAACTTGGCCTCCTCCTGCACCACGTACTGAGGATGCTCCAGAGAGATCCAGGCCCAGTGCAGACGGAACTGCTGCTGCTTCAGACGGTTCCCCCCTGAACACAAACACAGAGACACAGAGGAGAAGGTCAGAGGAGGAGAGTTTCAAGGATTAAACTTCCACAGGTCCAAACATCAGACAATAAAGAAGAGAAACAATGACAGAGCTCGCATTTCCACAGATCAAGACCATTACAGCTGCACCAGACTAGGTCTAAATCAGGACTAAACAGAACCAAAACAGGTCTAAATCAGGGCTAAAGCACAGCTAACCCAGGCTGAGTCTAAAGCAAGACTAAACCAGGACTAAATCAGGTCTAGAGCAGGACTAACCCATAACTAGGCCATGTCTAAAGGAGGTTTAATCCAGTACTAAACAAGTACTAAAGCAGGTCTAACCCGGTACTAAACCAGGTTTAAACCATGTCTAAACCAGGACTAAATCAGGTTTAAAGCAGGTTTAACCCTGCACTGACCTAGGACTAACCCAGGACTAACCCAGGACTAAAACAATTCTAAACCAGGACTAAATTAGGCCAAGCTTAAACCAGGCCTTAAATACATCTAAACCAGGTCTAAAGAAGATCTAAACTAGGATTAATCCAGGACTAAACCAGACCAAGTCTAAAGCAGGACTTACCCAGGAATAAACCAGAACTAAAACAGGTCTAAACAAGGTCTAACCCAGGACCCAACCAGGTCTAAACTAGGACTAAAACAGGTTTACACCAAAACTAAACCAGTACTAAACCAGGAAAAGTTTAAAAAAGGTCTAAACCAGGACAAAACCAGGTCTAAAAGAAAGTCTAATCTCGGACTAAACCAGGTCTAACCCAGGACTAAACCAGAACTAAACCAGGGCTAAAGCAGGACTAACCCGGGATAAAACCATAACTAAACCAGATTTAAAGCAGGACTAACCCAGTACTAAACCAGGTCTAACTCAGGACTCAACCAGGTCTACAGCAGGTCTAAAGCAGGCCTAAACCAGGCCAAGTCTAAAACAGGTCTAACCCAGGACTAAACCAGGTCTAAAAGGAGGTCTAAACCAGGACTAAGTAAACCAGGTCTAAAGGAGGACATGTGCATTATCCATCTTTTGTCATAATGTTTTGCTTGACCATTGCTTATATCAAACACCAACACTAGTCAATAAGAAAGAAACATTTTCCACACATGGTTTTCAGTATAATTGTTTTTTTTTTTCTAATGAAGTTACAGGTGTAAGTCCTGTATATCACCTTTTCTGTCATTTCCTATAGTTTTTCTTTAGTTTATACCTGTATCTTTCCCGTGCTGGTCTGAAAAGTATATGAGTCATTTGCCTGTAGTTTTTGATGACTTGTTGATCTGAGCTTGTTTAATCTTGTGGCGTTAGGAAAGTCCCTTCTGTTCCTCAGTTCAAAGAGGACCGAGGATTCCACACCTGCTCCTTCACTGCAGCGAGAGTCAGGGGGGCATGGGAACAGGGCCGGGAGGGCATCTGGACTGATTTTAGTGTTAGCTCTGCCTAGAATGTTCCACAGTATGACTTTAAACAGCTCTACTTTACATTTATTCAATTACAGGTGGTTTTATAGCTCAAAAATACCTAGAAAAACAACATTCTGACTGTGAGTGGAGTCGCCTCTCCACAGCTCTGACCTGTAACTTGGTCTTGTTTGGCCTTCATGAAGATAGAAAGGTTTAATGCCATACTGTGAAACATTCCAGACAAAGCAATAACATTTCGATTAGAGCTGGGGATCATTAAGAAGTTGCCGATAAGATACATATGTCGATACAGTGCACTTTCTATTCGATACGATTCAATAAAAATAAAGGCTAAATAATGGCTGTGATCCTAAAAGTCTTTGTTAAACCATTTCTTGTGCAAAGTTCATATGAAACACAAACATTTTAATGTCAAATGTGTTGCATAAATGAGTTTCCTTCCACTGAAAAAACAACAAAACTGTAGCGCTGTAACTAAATAATTTAGTAAAATACACCAAGAAATACTCTTGGAGATATATCGACACAGCAGCCCACGATATCGATACTGCATCATCACATTAAACGATACGATATATCGATACTTCATTATTTTTGTACACTCCTAATCTCCATGGAGAAAAGCATTTTTTATAATACAGGAGGTGTTCAACTGTGTTAAACTCCACACACCTTCACTAGAATCATTTGGACGATTTCAGCCCTGGAATTGCCAATCTCTACTGAACTAAAAGTAAAAGTAGATGTTAACTTGAAGACTACCACTAAATGACATCACAAGGTGGAACACAGCATTTTGAGCTTTAGAGATAAAGGAGATAAATACACAATAATAATAAAGGATTATTAAGACATGTGTAAATGGAACAAAACACAACTACAGGTCTGTTTTGGAGGAGGTAACAACATTCTAAGAGTCAATTTTGTGTAATATAGGACCTTTACTTTACTATGTTTTAACTCATTGTTTCCCAAAGATGTGGGTCGCAAGAGATTTTTTTGGGTCGCCTTGTCACGATCTGCACCTCCCATGCTCCTCACTTTTTCACCGTGCAAGAAATCTACAATCCTCACTTTTTCGACAGCACAGCCTTGCCCAACCAGTTTTCTGTGAGAAACTCTGATCACTGCTTTTCTTTTTTTTTTTAAAGCTTGAGAGACACAATCACTCAGTCATCCATAAAATATCCTCATTAATGTTCAATAATGGTCAAATCCACCTTTATTTTGTGATTTATAAATAATGTCTATTGACTTGGGTCGTGAAGGTTTGTGACTTTTAAAATATGGGTCCCCAGGAAAAAAAAAAGGGAAACACTGGTGTAGAGAGACTAACGATATCCATCCATTTTCTTATATTTTTGAGGAGGTAACAACATTCTAACACGACTTAAAGCTCACGAGAGTCAATCTTGCGTACTAGAGGACCTTTAATAATGGAAAAAAGTTATGACGTGTGATCCAGTTGGTAAATATTTTCAACGACAGAGACTCGCCAGCATGATTTTAATTCCCATTTCCAAATAGAATATGAATGCAGGTCATGCTGGAGTGGTGCATTAAAGGAGAGAGGACACTCGACTTGGGTTGCGAAGGTTTGTGACTTTTAAAATATGGGTCCCCAGAAAAAAAAGTCTGGGAAACACTGATCTAACTGATTCATTTTCATTGGTTTTGATGATAAAGATCTGGGAGGGCATCAGGTTTACTGCAGACACTCCACTGCACTTCCTCTGCGTGTGACTCATTGACCACAGTTAACACATTAGGTGTGAGGGCGCATACATTTCCTGAGTGACCGGGTTACAGAGGCACGCATGGATTAGTTTTCAATTACATACTCTGAGGTTTTGTTTTCCTTCTAAAACAAGCCCGGCAAATTAATGTTTTTTTTTTCTTTTCTATATCACACTGGTCTCTGTATGCGTATTATTGATTTGTTGAGCTTTCTACCGTGTTATAACATTGTTTCCTCATCAAAAACATGCCTGAAGAGGGTTTAGATGTCATCCATGCATGTCTGAGTAATCAAGAGATCTCTCCCAGGCTATATTTGAACACTCTTTATGGTGAGCTGTACGTCCCATGCTCCTACACAAAGATTCTCCATAAATATACAAAAACCAGATACAAAACTAATCCGTGTATCATTCGTTCATTCGTTTTTCAATATAAAACCAAAAATAAGACAACGAAAAAACAACAGTTTTCTTCGCTATTTGTCTCCAAAACCAAAATGAAAAAAAAGGATAATGATTCGTTTTTTCAGTTTTCGATTTTGTGTTTAAATGAAGAATGGAAAAAATGGATAACGGCCGTTTCCCGTTTACGTGACTTCCGTGACTTGATGCCGAACTTTTGCACCGGGTACGGACTGAACCAGGACTGATCCAGGTCCGAGACCAGACCGAGACCAGAGCAGGACTAGAGCGGGACCAGAGCAGGACCAGACCGGGACCAGAGCAGGACTGGGGCAGACTCCAAGCTTTGACTCTGAGCCTCCGCGGGGTCCAAGCCTCAGCTTCGAGCTCCAGCCCTTCCGTGGGCTCTGAGCCTCCAGTCTGGTCTCGGTCTTGTCTCGGTCTTGTCTCTGTCTCAGGCCCGCTCTGGTCCCGGTCTGGTCCCAGTCTCAGTAGCGCTCTGGTCCCGGTCTGATCCCGGACCTGGTCCATTTGAACCAAAAGCTCTTAGTTCGGTTTGTTTTCGTTGGTGTGAAAGCGTCAGTTCTTTGCACCACCTCGGAACCAGCCGCGGTTCTGGAGCAGCCCGTCCGGACCTGTAGTCCACAGCACATTCTACTTTCCCCGCACGGAACCAGCGCGGAGACGATGACACGGAACCGCTCGGACCGCTGGTCTCGGTCTCAGTTCCGCTCTGATCCCGCTCTGGTCTCGGACCTGGATCAGTCCTGGTTCAGTCCGTACGGTGCAAAAGTTCGGCATCGCAGTCACGGAAGTACGTAAACGGGAAACGGTCGTTATCCGTTTTTTCCATTCTTCATTTAAACACAAAATCGAAAACTGAAAAAACGAATCATTATCCGTTTTTTCATTTTGGTTTTGGAGACAAATAACGAAGAAAACGGTTGTTTTTTCGTTTTCTTTATTTTGGTTTTATATTGAAAAAAAACCAGATACAAAACTGAACACAACAACTTCACAACCCTCATGCGATGTACAGTAGTTTGATTGTGTTATGATAGCGGTCTGAAGGGGGTCTAAGTTCGTCTAATTTCATTTCTCTCCAGCGACTAGGTCAGGAATCAGAATACACTAGACGATTTGCAAGAACCCGGAAGTTGTAGACCGCACACCGGCCAATCAGCGAAGAGCTGTGAAGCCATGACGTCAAACTCAAGCACCTGTCTGGGTCCTTTTTGTGGAACAGCACAACAGTAAACAAAGCGGTCGAGATGGATGTAGACGATATAAACTTCGCATTTTTTATTGCACCTTTAATTCGCAAGTTCACCAAGTGATCGCTGACAGACATGTTCACACTCTGCTTTGATTGCTGACAATTACTTGGACACCACTGAGCGTTCCAGCACATCATATACGTC